TTCCCCCCCTTGGCAATTTGCTATTCTATCCTGCAATCATCAATAAAATTGTCCTGCATTTTTTTTTTCTCCTCTCTATATTCAGATTTTCCTTGGATCGCCATACTGACCTTGACAGGATCTTTAACATACATTCTGGAAATGGATCACTTTATACATCAAAGCCACTTGACCGTGAACTCTCTCAATGGCACAATCTTACTGTTATAGCTGCTGAAATCAGTAAGATGAGTTTTATTTATATATCATGTTAATATATATTTGTAGGTTTTATTTTATATTAAAATAATTTATTGTCATTGAACAGATAAGTTGTCATTTTAATCCTAGTTTCTAAAAGAATTCTCTACCTAATTTTTCTCACAATTTTATTTTATATCAGTATATCAAGGGATACATATAAATACCCATAACTCTGCATTTAATATTAACTGATAAAAAAGATCTAAAACTTGGGAGTTAAAAATATTCTAATTTAGGGAAAATAAAAATAATAGAAAAGAAAATTAGAAAGTACTAAATTTGTTACATGGACGCTATTAAGATTCTTTGCTAAATGTTGACTGTATATCATATCATTTAATCTAAACAGGAATGTGGGTAGATATCATTACTTTTTATTTACAGATGAGGAAACTGAGATTCATATTCATAGAAATAATAGCTAACAATGAACTATGTGCCATTTATCATTATAAGATTCTTACACTTATTATATTCTACTATATTTTTTATTCATTTAACAGAAAAAGAACTAAGATTCAGAGAGTTTTAGTAACTTACTCAAAGTCACAGAACCAGAAGTCCTAAAATTTGGATTTTGACCTAGTCATTACATTTCTAAATGCAATATTTGTTATATGCTTAATTTACAAAAGTTTAGCCAATTAGAAATTGTTAGAAACGAGATTGAAATGGTAAGGAAGAAAATCCTCTACTCTCTTAGAAATGAAAGAAAAAGAGTCTTAATGAGGAATTATATAGCTCAAGGTGAGTAACACTAAATAAAAATACAAAGCACTCTACAGTTCAAGAGCAGAGAGTGATCTATATAAAAAGGGAATAAAGGAAAAGTTGGAGGTTAATGATTGATTACAGATAAGATCAACTCTAGCTTGAAGTCTTCTGAAGTATAAAGTTTGTCCACTTGGCTAGGAGAGAGTAAGTTATATATCATGGAAGCCATGAACAACCCCCTACCTCAGAACAAATTGCTTACATCTTGACATATTCTTCTCCTGAATAGATAGTTTACATTCTGATCTTTTGCTTCTTCAGAATGTAAGGTGGTCCTTACATTAGTTTCTCAGTCACAAGTGCCTCTACTTTGTAACTTTTCCATTTACATTTCCTCCTTTTGATAATACCTTCACCCACAATTGGAGTAGCTTTCTTCTGCAAGGACTTTGTTTTCTTGAGGGACTTTGGTTAATGAAAGTTATTTTGATTTCATCTCCAGGGAGAGTAGGTTTTATGGGGGAAATCGGACAAGGCCATATTTGAGGAATATTTCTCAGTCTGGACAAAATGATAGAAGTCAAGATAAACATACTTTCTGCTCAAAAAAAAAAAAAAAATTCACTGCCATCAAGTCAACTCCAACTCATAGCAACTCCCTTTGTTTTTCTGAGGTGGTACATCTTAGTGCCTAAGGCACTTGCCTGCTAACCAGAAATCTGGTGGTTCAAATCCACCAGCTACTCCTCAGGAAGAAGACAGGGAAATCTACTTCTGTAGTGATACTGCCTCAGAAACCCAAGGATGGGTCCCTATGAGTTGGGTCCGACTTGATGGCACATAACAACAACATCTTTACAGAAGTAGATTGTCCAGTCTTCCTTCCATGGGGTGGCTGGTTGGTTTGAACTTCCAACCTTCTGGTTGGCAGTCAAATGCCTTAGGCACTGTGACACCAAAACTCCTTGAAACATACCCAGGGAGACAAAAAGGAAGTGATTAAATAACACAATAATTAGTGGAAGCCTGCAAAACCAGCATGATTTTTTGTGAAAGGTCAAATAGTTTTGAAGTACAATATTTCATGGATAAAATGTGTTGAACTAAAGAAAAACAACATTTTAAAAACAATGAGGACTGTAAAGATTCAAAAATGTAGCATTTTCCCATCACCTGCCATGACAGGAAAATCAATTCAAGGTTTTCCCAGCAATCTAAAAGTAGAGCATTCTTATGAAACTCTTTGTAAGCCAGAATGTCATGAAGCAAAGAAGCAGTTAACCTTAATTTATGTTGGGAAAATTTTTGAGCATGTATTCCCAGACCCAAAAGATAACTGTGTTAGAATGGTTTTTCTAGAGAAATAAAACTAGGGAAGCTCATATATATATATATATATATATAGAGAGAGAGAGAGAGAGAGAGAGAAAGAGAGAGGGAGAAAGAGAGAAATTTATCTTAAGAAAATGGCTGACATACATACAGAAGCTGATACTTCCAAAGTTCTTGGATCAAACGTCAAGCTGGATGCTTTACCTGACTCACACAGCTGCAGAGGCTGAGGAGCTCAAGTTTGACAGGCAGTATACTGGCTATTTACTCTAACAAATGACGAATCCAAGATCTCCAGGCTGAATGGTTGATTGTTTGCTCATGGACAGCCATATGAAGCACAACAGAGTCCCAATCCACAGAAGAGTGTCTCTTTTCCTAGGATGTCCATAAATATACTGGAAGCAGGCCACACCCCTGGTGAAATTCCCTTTCAACAGATTGGCTTCTCAAAACATATATATCTGATCCCATCATTGGAACAAACCATATCACAATTGCTTAAACTGCACAGAATTGTGGTCTAGCCAAGTTGACACACAGCTCCAACTAATACAATAACTTACCAAATCATACCAAATAACATCTAAAACATAAAACAATACTAACATATACTTTTCATATACACTGTCCAAAGCTATGATAGCTTGATGCC